CCCACCCCCTAAAAAAAAAAAAAAAAAAAAAAAAAAAAAAACCTCTCAAAAAAAAATACCCAAACATTCACAAGATAGACACTAGTTTGAATGAATGAAATTTACTGTTTTAAGTTTGCAATTTAGTATTCTTTTACCTGAAATGTCAAAGGAAATTTAGAACCAATATTTTGCCTTGAGATAATTCATTCTATTATACTCCCAATAATTATGAATGAATGTGCACCAACACCTATATAAAAATGTTAATCACTTGAGAATTGACAGAGTCCTTGAAGACTAGTCCTGCTCCTATTAGTTGAATCACTCAATTATTCCTTGAAATGACATAATGATTGCTGGTGCTTTTGAATTCACATGTGAATCTAAAATCTACAGAGATTTATCCCCAAACACAAATAATAGTAAAAGACAGCATGGCCGCTATATAACAACAAGGACTTCGGATTTATTACTGTGACATGAATGGGTTTTTATGTCAACAGGTAAGATTTTGGCTTTAGTGTGAAAATCTGATTAACTGGTTTCTATTTACTATTTGGAACAAATGTATTCTTTAAAGTTGTGTTCATATCCACAAGCTGTATTTGAGAAATAGGGCAGATAAAAGCAAGCAGTTATTTAGCAAGTAACTTCAGGTGAATTAAGTTTCTGCAGACCACTTAGTACAAATAAACAGTCACATTTCCATGTATCAAGTATCCTCAGTTATCTATCTATAAAATTTGAACCTCAACTCATCTTAATAGTTTCTAAACTCAGAACTAAATCATAATTCTAATAAATTCCCTAGCTTTGAAGTACATTGGAGAGTTATACTAATAAGTATCTTGTGAAAAGTCCTCCTTTGTTTTTTGTCTGCAAGTTCTTTTATCACATGCAACCAGACAAAGAAATTGTTAAAGTCAGACAACTTAGGAGATGAGATTCTGGATACTAGGTGGTGATCTGGGTGAGCTTCTTAACTTTTTAGACAAATTTTATCAGCTTTAAAATATTTTGAGAGTAATATTATTTCAATCTATAATACTCTAACTAAAAACATTATTGCAATAGGAAATGACTTGATGTATTTGAATAATATATTTTAATTTAAATTTTCTTAATATTAATCACATCTTACATAGTGATAGATAGGTTGGTATTTGAAACTTCTTCATCTTATAATATTTTAATTGGAAAAGTTGTAAATGTTCAATAAATTTAAGTTAAGTGAATTCATTTGACCTTAATTTTAAATTCCTTTTTATTTCTTCTTGTCCTATAAGAGAAATGTATTTCTCTTTTGAAAAAAAGGGCCTCTTTGGTGACCAGCAATTAGCGTAATGGCTTTGTCGCTGGACTCCCATGTAGTCAACCGCAGTTTAAGTCCGGGACATGGTGGCTTAACTCAGGCTGGCCGCGATTGTGTGCGTGCATGCTCAAAATCCCAAGAGGAGAATGGAGAAGGGATTGCGGTGTGACCATCCCCCTTGGGGGGTGATTTCTTGCTTTCTGTCTTTCTGTCTCTTTCTGTCTTTCTGGTGAGCGCATGAGTCCTATAGCAAAACCCTCTCTAAAAAAAGGGGGGGGGGCTCTTTGAAGGGTAGACGTTGTAAATGTGTTAGCAGTTAGGCATTTCTTTTATAAATAAGCTGTCAGAAAATTTGGAGAAGGGATACAGAGGTAGAGCATTGATGGGATGAGGAGGTGTGGTGTTATCTGTTAAAGATATTTTGATCAACGGGTCTGGGGAGAAATGTGCACATATCGAATGGTCTCCTTTTAAGTGAAACAATATGATTGAAAGTATATACAAAAAACAAATAATAAATAATGTGGGAAAAAAAAGAAAATTTTCTCGTTAACTTCATTGTAACTACTATTTAATTTCATTTACGGCGAAGTTACTAAGGGGAAGGGACTGAGTTCAAACTGCCTGAGGTTTATACTCTGACTCCATTGCTTCATCTGTTATCAATGGTAAATTACTTCACGTTACCAGCCTACAAAAGGAATTACTAATAGTAAACAACATTTTATGGAAGATAAAATAGAACTACATGCATCAAATTATTAATCTTGTAATTTAGTAAGCACTGAATAAATGTTAGCTATTACTCATCCACATTACATAATTCTATTACCACATACGTTAATCCTTTGTGTTATACCTATATTGCTCTTTGTTTTCTAATTAATTTCACATTTTAATCTTTAGTTTTAAAATACATGGTATATTATTTTACATAAATAAAATAAGCATGCATAGATACACATACATACACACACAAGAAGACTTCAAAAATTTATGGAAATTGCTAATTGTGTAAAACTTATGCATAGATTTACAAAAGTTTATGGCAACAAAACAAACTTGTGCTTTAATTCTAGTATTCCTCAAATGTTTTCAAGTCACTCTGTGCATATATTATTTAATTATTAAAAAAAAATCTTTCAGGAACTAGCAGTTAGCGTAATGGCTATGTCACTGGACTCCCACATAGTCGAGCGCGATTCGAGTCCCAAACCCAGTGACTTAAACTCACGCTGGGCACGTGTGCGTGCATGCCCAAGATCCTGAGAGGAGAATGGAGGAGAAGGGATTGCGGCGTGGTGATTTCTCGCTTTCTATCTCTCTGTCTCTCTCTTTCTGGCAGGTACACACGCTCTATAGCGAAAACCTCTCCAAAAAGAATATATCTTTCAGATGTTTTTAAAATAAATAAAGACACATTGCACACAAATATGTAAACTCTATCATTTAGAGAAAAAAAAATCTTCATCCAAAATTAAATTGAATGATACATTTGTTCATAATAGTTTCTAAGTATGTATTTCTAATAAAAATGAAAACATCAATTCTTTAAAATAGTTTATTTATTGTCTTCATCACAGGCTTGTTTTCATAGCAACTTCACTGTCTCATGGATTCCCTGGTTGACAGAAACCACACCGTAGTGACAGGATTCATTTTATTGGGTTTAACAGATGATCCAATCCTCCAAGTCATCATCTTCATGATCATCCTGTGCATCTACCTCATGACCATATCTGGCAATCTCAGCATAATCATTCTGATCAGAACCTCCTCTCAGCTGCATCATCCCATGTACTTTTTTTTAAGCCACTTAGCTTTGACAGACATAGGCTACTCATCTTCTGTCACACCCAATATGCTTGTAAACTTCTTCATGGAAATAAATACAATATCTTACCTCGGATGTGGATTCCAGCTTGGTGCAGCTGCTTTCTTTGGGGGAATTGAGTGCCTCCTTCTGGCTGTCATGGCATATGATCGCTTTGTGGCCATCTGCAACCCACTGCTTTATTCAGCCAAGATGTCCACGCAAGTCTGTGCACAGTTACTCCTAGTTGTGTATGTAGCTGGTTTTCTTTACTCTTGCTCTTTTATTATTTGTTTTTTTTCTTTATTCTTCTGTGGACCAAATCAAGTCAATCATTTTTTCTGTGATTTTGCTCCTTTAATTGAACTCGCCTGTTCTGATACAAGTATCCCTGTAGTTGTTTCCTCATTTTTGGCTAGCTCTGTAGTTACAGTCCCAGCTATTGTCATCATTGTCTCCTACATCTACATCTTTATCACCGTCCTGAAGATGCACTCCACTGAGGGACGCCACAAGGCCTTTGTCACCTGCACCTCCCACCTCAGTGTGGTCACTCTGTTCTATGGGACTGTTACATTCATTTATGTGATGCCCAAGTCCAGCTTCTCAACTGACCAGAACAAGGTGGTGTCTGTGTTCTACATGGTGGTCATCCCCATGTTGAACCCCCTCATCTATAGTCTCAGGAATAGTGAGATTAAGGGGGCTCTGAAGAGAAAGCTTGTAAGAAAAACAGTTTCTTCGTAATGTCTGTTATTCTGTTGGATTTTACATGATAATATCCCATAGATATAATGATAAATTAAAACCAAGGTGGTAGTTGAAATATAGCTGTCTTATTTAGTTAGCCAGTTTGGGGTGTTTTAGTGCATGTTGGGTATGACTTTTCAGATTAAAAATACTGATCCGAGGTTCATCATGAGTTACTTTTTAAAAATTGAATTAAATTTATGTTTAAGATACACAGTTTGTTTTGCATAGAAATAAGCTAATGGGGGCCAGTAGGTGGCATAGCAATTACATTATAGGACTCCCCACATGGCCAACCACAGTTCCATCCCAGACCTGGTGACTTGAAACTCATGCTGGGAGTGCGTATGTACTACCCATGCTGGGAGGAGAAAGGAGGGGAAGGGGTTGTGGTGTGGTTATACCTCCAGGGGGTGATTTATCACTTTCCCTCTCACTGTTTCTCTCTCTCTCTCTCTCTGTGTCTCCAGTGAGTGCACATAAGGCAAAAAATGCCTGTAAAAAATGAATAAATAAACTACTGAAAGTTCTTTTTATTTGGTATTCATATTTTTTCAAGAATAGTCATTGTGAATTAAAGTGACTATATTTCTATGTCTTTAATATTTTGTCCATTTAAAACATCAGCTTGTCCTGAAATGTAAGGAATAAGAACAGTTATAACTCAGTATACACTTTAAGGGGTCAGCATGTGGTATGGTGGTTAGTGCTCGACTCCTACCTGGCCAACTGCAGTTCAAGTTCTGGACCTGGCATTTTGCTTTCTCACTTTCTCTCTCTCTCACACATGCCTTATAGCAAATTAAATACTACTAATAATGAACAAAATAAAATAAATAATTTGACTATATATGTATGGATATATGTATATGTGTATATATATACATACACACACACATATACATATATATATATATATCCACACACATTTTGAGAAATATGAAAAAGTATAAAAGACAATAAAATTGCTGCAGATTTTTTTTCTTATAGTGAGATTATCTGTTGGGTATGGGCTATATAGACCTGTAAAATCTGCTGTGTCCCTGGCCTGATTCTAACTTGGAATACAGTGGGAACCCAGAAAAGGTGAAATGTCTGTGAGCAACCTATGAATTCCTGTCAGCACAGAGAGATGACTTCTGTGGAATTATCTGAGTTCCTGATCTCTCCAGGGATTTAGTAGAACAAACCCTTGGAATGATTTGTTCATGGTCAGAGTCTCATCATGTTAAGGAACTTGAGGGATTTTGACTATTTCTCCATTATGATCTTAATTTACCATGCTCTAATTAATGTGGTTTATTTCTAAACACAAATGCATGTGACTAGACATAGAGAAATGTAAACAACCTTTCTCGGGGTGACCAGTCATAGGGGTTCCTTTGGTTTGATTTTGAGAGTGAGAAACAAAGTTTGAAACTTAGTGAAAAGAGTTTCCCCATTGGTCTGGCCCAAAAAGGTGGGACATCTGGATTCAGGGGCTTGTATGCCACAGGTGGGTTTTACAATTTTTAGGTTGGTGGTGATTGGAAAGTAAAGTCTGTGTTTTGTGAAAGCCTCAGCAAAGAGTGCACTGTAACAGAGATAAGGAGCTTGCATACATCACCAGATACTGTCCCAAGGACAAGATATAGGAAGAGTCCTGTTATCAATGAGTCAAATGGTCAGTTAATGTTTTTGGTGTGACTCACTCTAGGTCCCACAGAAGGGATTTTGGAAACAGGAAAAAGCATTCAGACTTCTGTCCTCAAAAGTAAAGGGAACTCTATCATTCACAGCAGCATGAATGGGATTGGAGGGCTTTAGCTAAGTAAAGTAAGCTCGATGCTTAAAGAAAGATAGTGAATGATCTCATAGGTGAAATCATTTTAAAAGCTGATTACAGGCGCAGCCACAGTACCATATGTTGCTACATTGTAGGCTGAGGTCCAAGGTTAGTTTCCCCATCCACCCTAATAGCTGAACTTCAAGACATGCACCATAGTGCTTACCGCTTAGGAGGCTAAGGCAAGGACATTGTGACATAACAATACCATGTCTATATTTTAAAAACTAAATAGTTGAATATATAAAAATAGTGAGCAGATTGCTGGTTACAAGGGGTTTGTGTTAGGGAAAATGGAAGATTAGGACAAATAGTACAAAGTTACAGCTATGTAAGGTAAATAAATGTAGAGATCCGATGATAGGAGGAGGACTAACGGTTACATCGCTGGACTCTCACGTAGTTGACCATGGTTCAAGTCCTGGATTCAGTGGCTGAAAACTCTCTCTAGACACATGTGCATGCACAAAGTCCTGTTTGTTTTATTATGGACATATTAGACATTTTATTTTGAGACTATGGATCATGTTGAAACTTTATTCAGCAAGCAGTCCTCCTATTGAGGTAAATCTGAAACCCCAGGTAGATGTGTGTGTTCAGCTCCCTGCTGAGCCCCCTGACACTACTATGAAATAGTGGAATGCTTGCTTGTGAAATCATCATGAAATTTGACTATAAAGTATTATTTTTAATAAAAATATTTAGATTAATAAATTATTTTTATTCATTCCTTTGCTCACTCCTGATTCTTGAGTTTACTCAGTTCCTTTAGTTTCTCCCTTTGTTTGTCAAAAAAGGTAGTACTTGTGAGTATTAAAGTGCCCAAGTACACCCATGATACAAAACATCATTATTTTCCCTGTTGCTCATATCACATATTATTGGGATATAGAATATTAAATAATTATTCCCCTCTCCCTCTTATAACTCAGAAAAGATTTTTTTCTTATCGTCTTGTAGCCTATGATGCTAGTAAGATTTGGTACCAATATTTTGTATTTCTGTAGTTACTAGTAATTATTTATAGAAACTTTTACATTATTCTCGATAATGCTTATTTTCCAAATATAACAAATCTATAATGTTGATCTTTTTTTGTTGTTCTTCATTTCAGGTCATTTCTCTTGATGAGGGCCCTTGTCACCATTTGGCACTGAAATTTTTTCTTCAATTATTTCATTACACATTGTTTCTCCACTCACACTCCATTACTCTTACTCTTTCTATTGGTGTGCCTATCAGATCCATGTTGGAATTTCCTGATCTATCTTCCACATCTTAACTTTTTAAAAATATTTTTTTAAGTACCAGCAGATGGCATAATGATTACATTTCTGGACTTCTCATACAGTTTGATATTCAGACCCAGAGGCTTGAAACTCAAACCAGGTGCATGTGCATGTGTGCCCAAGATCCAGAGAGGAGAATGGACTGTGGCATCTCCATCCCCCAAGAAGGGTGATTTTCTCACTCTCTGTCTCTGTCCGTCTGGTGATTGCATGCACCCTATAGTAAAAATCTCTCTCTAAAAAATTTTTTCCCTATCTCTGTGACCTTTTTATGTTATATCTTTGGTATGTTCCTCAGGTTTGCTTCCCAGAACACTAGTAGTCTTCTCAGTGTCCATTTTTTTGTCTTCCTTTTTTGGAGAGGTTTTTGCTATAGGGCGCATGTGCTCGCCAGACAGACAGAGACAGAGAGATAGAAAGCAAGAAATCACCCCCCAGGGGGGATGGCCACGCCACAATCCCTTTTCCTCCATTCTCCTCTCAGGATCTTGGGTACACACGCACACGCGCCCGGCATGAGTTTAAGCCACCGGGTCTGGGACTTGAACCGTGGTTGACTACGTGGGAGTCCAGCAACATAGCCTTATGCTAACTGCTGGTCCCTCAGAGTCCATTTTGATATTCAACTCTCTGTTAAAGGGTTTGTTTTTTTTTTTAATTTCAACAAAATATATTTTCTTAGTCTGTGATGTTGATTTTTAGGCATGCAATACTTTCCCATGCCCCTAAGTATATTAATTGTACATATTCTAAAGCCTTTATTCTAGTTACTTTATAAAGTCTGTTTGCTTGAGAGTTGGATCTTCTTTTTTTTTTTTTTTTTTTTTTCCGTCTGCAAACCG